CATTTTTTATCTTCTTGTAAAAATCCCTTTGAGATCTTTCTATTTCCTTTTGTCAAATCATAATTGTTAACTTATGAGGTAATCCAGGAAAAAAACGCTTATGACGCACGAAATTTATAAGCTGTTACTGTCATTTACCGTGAGTTTATCAAGTTTATTGTTGAAATGTGCAACAAAGATTGGTGCATGTAAACAATTGTATTTGATTATTAACGTGAATAATAATTAAATTGTGACAAAGGTGCTTGAGGTTATCAAACAATATAAATATGAAATAACGGTTAATGTTACAAGTACGATAGGCAAATTCTGTCTATTGACAACTATTTGAAATATCTGCAATACAGGCTTTATATTTATTTATAAAAATGCTTTTAATGTTAATGATATATTCAAATATTTTGATTTCTTTGTAATTTTAGAACAGTTTGCCTTAACTTGTGTATTTTCTTAAAATATTTGAATACAGGTTACAACTTAATATGAATGACGATATGCAGTGACTAAGAGATTTTAACATTGTATAAAAGCAGGTGTTTTAAACCTTCATTACTTTTCATAAATGAATAAGACGATGAAGACTGGTCACTTTACTATTGGAGGCCAGGTCAATAATTTAGTAAAAAAGAAACTATATTAATGGATACGTCTAGCTGTGACTGTAAATATCTTGTGTTGCTGATCATTTTCGCTGTATACAGTTTTTATCTATTAATGGTTTCTAGATATACGTAAAAGCATAAACAGTCTTAGAAAACTTCATGTAAGGGCAAAATACCCTATAGGAACTCAATTTGATGGCTCCAATCCAATTGCATTTTTTTTTTAGTTTCTGTTAATCATAGATTTCAAGATAAAAGGCAAAAACGTTCAAATTGGTAAAACAAAATGTCAATTTAATGCTTGGTCTGTACCCAACTGTATGATAATACATCATATTTAAATTCGTAATATAACATTTGTCGAAAACAGCATATACATGTGTACTAGTAGTTATATCTTAATATTCTGATCGTTTCTACTCTTGTCATACTTTTTATATAATTACTTATATCATTATCCAAATATTAACTTCTTGCTAGCATTTTACCCTTACTTTCTTTTTCTAGCCATTGCTGTCATGTAGAATGACGGGCAAAACATCCACATTATACTATATGCCCTTAGAGTCACGCAGATTTTGTTTGGTTGAAATTGCTACGAAGGTTACATAGAACAATATTTGTATAAACAGATTACTGCAATAGTTCACCTGGCCCATATTTTCATATTTTGACTAACACCTAGACTGACAACAAGGGTCGGTTGATAAGTAAACTTAAGAACCAGGAGAGGATTTCAATTTTCATTTTGGGACTTTTCCATTTCTATGTAGAAACATTCAAGCAACATCTGCATATCATAATAAATCTCACTTTTTATGTAATTCCTGGTATTGCGTCTCCCATCAATATTTCCTGGATAAGGAGACAACGCTTACAATGAAGCTATTGAAATAGGCCCTTAATGATAAAGTTGAAACTAGTTTATGGACGCAATTATGATTGTTTGACTGTTATCGAGTCTCTGTGTCACAGATGACGAAGCATGTGTTTCACTTTATGTATTCAAAATCCCGTCCTCTTTCCTGTTATTATGATCACTGAATACGACTCCTCACTAGATGTGTAAACGCTTCCAGAAACTCTGTTAATGTCCCTAAGTTTATGATGAGGTTCTTGTTGCTTTGGTTTTAGTTAAGTTTTTTGTCGGCTGTTGTCGTATTAAAGATCTGGATCTCTTTAGCGATCAAGTGATAAAAAAGAGGCGAAAGATACCAAAAGGGACATTCAAACTTATAAGTCGAAAATAAACTGACAATGCCATGGCTTAAAAAGAAAAAGACAATCAAGAGTTCATTATGAAACGGATAACTTAAGTTCAAAGAAAGGGGGACCAGGTGGTGCCTATTAGTGGTGATGCTGCGTAATGCAATCACCAATCAATACATGATTTTTTAATCACTCGAAATGAAATATACTATTTTTTTGTCACAGCGGTGAAAAATAATACAGACCTTACATATATATGTGAAACATATTTGATAGGATAATATGTCTGATAGGATAATATGTCTACTCAAAAATGAAATTTTTACAAATTAAGAAATGAAAATTTAAAAAAACAAATACGTTTCTTATAGTACCGGATATACCTTCAATATCGAGAAAAGACCTAAATATGTTGCAGAACTCATCTCTTGATTATATATATATATGTATATATTCGAATTCAAATATGAGAAATCTGCGTAAATTTGAGTAAATATTGTAAATTCTCAAAAGCCAGAGCCAAAAATTTTATGAAACGTTTTAACGATATCAAAAAGGTAATCTTAAAGAGAGATGAAAACCTGTCCAAATACATTTTGGCTTAAAAGCTGTAAGTTAAGCATTTTAAAATTAAAAACACTCATATGCAATAATTCACAATAATACATTTTATCAATTTTGAACAGTGCTAAAGCAGTAACTAATAAGTGAAGAAAGAAAAAACGTTTAGGCCAACAGTCTCGTTTCAGTGGTCGTAAATTTAAAAAAAAACCCAGCCATTTATTTCTTTTCTTGCATTTAATACATGCACACTTCAATATATAAAATAACTCTAATCATGATAAATGGTTTGGGACATTTCAATTGATTGAGATTCTTGCAAGACTATTGGACCATTCAAAATTGAAATAAAAGAAAACTTAAAGAGTGATATACATATGCAAGTCACCATAGCTTTGACGTAATATCACAAATGTGCACTTTATGTGTTTTGTAGAATTTCACAACTTAATGAGAAAAGATTAATTTTAAAGGTAGATCTTTTACCTTTCATAATGTGAAAGTTGTAATTCTTAACTTGTAATATCTTCAGTAATTTTTATAATTTGAAAACATGTAGGGATAATAGTTAATTGACTTCATTTGAAGCTTAATAAGTTCACGCAAAACAGATAAATATTGACACAGACACACGACCGGTATTCAGTATAGTAGTGGAAATATTGTAACAAATATCACTCAGCAAGTATCACACTGAAACTGCACAAACATGAACATACTGGTGCTGCAGCTAAATGTCAAGTAATATGTACATTATCACAATAGGCATATTAGAGTAAATTAAGATAGATTAAATGTATACCGCTATCTTAGTTTTTAAAAGAGCAGTACACAATCGGTCTAGATCTTTGCTTAAATCTGCAATTATTTTGAGAGATTGGCAATTAATGTGTAAGACTGTTCGTTTAAATAAAGAAAAATAAGTGGTTAATTGCATTACTTAGACTGTTTTAAATACTTAATATTTGCTTTTGTTTGATTCAATTTTTAAACTTAGCCAATATAAGAGGAGATAACTCTTATAGTAAATATTTTATACTGGAATGATCTCATTTTTATCTTGTAGCAAGGAAACAAAATTGGTGACGCCATATTTTCAATTTATTTTCTTAAAGCATATTATAAAACCTATCTTTTCATATTTTATTTCAAAATTATATTCCATAGATATCTTTTTAGTCACAAAAATAAGTTTTTTCATGAACAATTTTTGCAAAATTGGACAATTTTGGACGACTTTTTGCTTAGCACCAATATATGTATGAATTCAAGTTTCTTTCAGAACCCATGTTTGCAATAAAATTCCTGGCATATTCTATACGATTGTCGCAATTATTTGGCACCCATTGAAGCTGATGCATGCCACAAAACCAGGTTCAACCCACCATTTTTTTCTTAAAATGTCCTGTACCAAGTCAGGAAAATGGCCATTGTTATATTATATTTCGTTTCTGGTTGTGTTACATTTTAATGTTGTGTTTTTGTTGTGTCGTTGTTCTCCTCTTATATTTGATGCGTTTCCCTCAGTTTTAGTTTGTAATCCGGATTTGTTTTTATCTCTATCGATTTATGAGTTTCGAACAGCGGTATACTACTGTTGCCTTTATGTATGGAACTTTGCAGCTTTGATAATTACAACAATATGTTAAACAATTCCGACAATACTAGTCATATGCTCATAACCGGGAAACATGGTAAATTAAAGATAGGTTGCACCTGTGGCGGTAGTTTTAGATCGCCGCATCGTATGTTTTCGTTACGTAAAAAAAACTCGTTTATTTAATTATCTTATTCATTTTGAATTTTCTGTATTTTGACAATTCAATCATCTTCTGTAAATTGAATTTACATTTGTTTTACATACTCGGAGGAATCAGATTGGCACTTGTGATACTGTCACGCTGTTTTGTTTGTTAACTCATCTTTATAACAGTACTTCTTAAAGTGTTTAAAGCAATCTATTTGAGATTTTTCACTTTAATAGCAATAAACATTTCAAGATCTAGGTGCATTACATGATCTTGCATGAGTTGCATTGAACGTTCAGTTGATTATCAATCTACATCTATAGTATTTAGCAATTATTTACTCCATATGATACATTTATAGATTATAACATGTCCATTTCCATATCCGCCCTAGTATTATACCAAGAATCCCATATTAGCCCAAAGCCCTAGCCGAGGGCTCATGGGTCGAGGGATGATACCAGGGCCCATATGGAAAATGGCATTATATAATCTATTTATCACATATTATGCAAATGCTTAAAAAATTTGAAAACAAATTCATTATTCCGTCTGGCAAGATCATAAATTTTTTGTCCACCATTGAAACAACTTCGTTATTACGAATATCACTAAGCGTCCAAAACTATATTCCTTGAATATTATAATGTCAATGTCAAATTTTCTTTTACTATTTGTATTCTTTATTTCTTTAAAAAATTCCGGTGTCATTTTAATCGACGTTTCATGTTCGTCATTGTAGTTAGGAACGCTTATGACGTCATTACAGAGCACAATAACCGGTTGTTTGCCCCGGGCAGGAATATGACTATTGCAACTCTGCGGTTATTGCATATGCAAAACCCAATGTTTTCGGAACAAATATGTAATATTGCCCTACCTGAACAACGTTTAACAATGTTTTGTCTTCGGTTGATCTTCTCAGTGTTTCTTTTGAACTCTCTGCATCCAGCATGTCAATATAGGTTTTATTGGCATATTTTGTTCTGTTTTCCTTATAATTAAAACATGAAATATTAAATACAAAAACTTATTATCTGCAAGTATGCTTTTCGTTTCAAAGACAATATCCGTTCCAAGAATAGGAAATAAGTGTAATCCAAGTTAATTTCGAAAGAAAGTCCAGGACATACAAACGGGAAAGACATTAATTAATAAGACATTTATAATGAATCTTATATCTAACTTAGCACAAACACTTTCTGAAGCTGTTTACCATGTTATTTTCGTATATGTACTGGTAATCTTACAAGCTTCAATTGGGTAACTTAAAGCACGTTAAAAGAAAAACATGATAATTCCATTGATAATTAAATTACATATTCCTGTTTGATGTTTAAACTATTATTGTATAATATTTCAAATCATTCACTACAAAACACTGTTCAATATATCCGTCTTACGAGAGACTTGAAGGAGCACCTGGATATTTTGCATAACACTGATACAATACAATAAACATAAAAATGGGTAAAAGTCATCCTCAAAAGGCATTCATTCCTATAAGGAGTCCACTGATGATTTGATCTATGCCGACTTATTTGTAGAACTGATTTTCCTCCTTTTATTTAGCTCATCTGGTCCAAAGGGTCAGAGTGAGCTTTTTTCATCACTTGGCGACCGTTGTCTCTCGTCGTCCGTCGTCGTCGTCCATCATCCGCTGACTTTAACTAAAATCTTCTTGTCTGAAACTACTGAGCCAAATTTAACCATACTTGGCCACAATCATCATTCGAGTATCTAGTTTTGAAATGGGGTTTGATGACCCCGCCTGCAAACCAACATGATTTGAAATAGAACATAGGGGTAAAATGCAAGTTTTGTCAATTTTTCTTGAAAACCACTATAGATAAGGAAAATCTGACTTGGCAAAAATGTTTAACATGTTGAGATCTACCTACTGTTTATTTATATTACAACTGTAACACGACTTCTAAAGGGTTATTGTCCTAAATTCGGGACTTTCGTCATTGTTATGCATTTTTGTGTATTATCTTGAAATTAAATGGAAAGAACCTAAAAATTCAAAAATGACCAGCATGATAAGATCTACAAGTAGGTCGACATGGTCAAAATCGTTAATCGACTCATTATTAGAGTGTTTGCCCTTCGATGACACTTTTTATCAATCTTTTGCGTTTTTGCCTTTATCTTGAAAACTATAATAGATGGATAGCAAATTAAAAAACAAAAGTTATATACTTATTAGTCAACATGGCCGAAATCATAAGCCGACTTTTATAGGATTGATTGATTGTTGTTTGCTTTACGCCGCATTAGCACAGAAAGGCTATATCGCGGCGAGAGCTAATTCGAATATTATAACAATTTAAGGTATATTTTTAAAATCAGACAAAAGGTCTTTCAATAAACTAAAATTCTAGACTAAAGCATGACTTTTATAGAAGTAATTACCTTTAAATATAAAAATCTTTTTTTTTTGTGTGTGTTTTTACCTTTTATCTTGAAAACAATATAGAAAAATAGAAGCAAATAGGTTAGCATGAATGAAATTATCTGTTGTCTTATTATAATATTTACTGCTATTTTTTACCCATTCTTCTCTTTAAATAAAAAAGAACAAAATTGATCAGCAATACAAGATTAACAAAATAGAGATTTTAGTCATAAAGTATATTCTAGTCTACATTGTTGGAGAGTGTCCACTGCACATTAACCTATGTGAGCGACACACGCTATTTAGATCCTCAAGTTGTTATCTACAATTTCTCTCTATCTACTTTAGTTTTAAAAGAAACACAGAAAATGGGTTAAAACTGTCATTAAGGGCAATAACTAATTTAAGAGGTCGACTTACAATTTCGGCTTCAATTTTAACACATTTGTTAATTTTGCTTTTCCAGTTTCTATCTACTTAGTTCAGCAAAAAAAAAACCAACACAATAATGGGTAAAAACCGTCATTCAAAGAGTTTATAAGGAGTCAACGATTTCGGCAATTGTGACTGTTTTTAGCTGATCATTTTTGCTACTACAGTTTCTCTCTATTCACTAAAGTTTCCGCAACAAAATATAAAACAGAATAAAATTGTCATTTAAAGGCAACAGCTCCTATAAAGAGTGGACTGAATATTTAGGACATTTTCACTTATTTGTAATCAATTTTGCTGTTCACAGTTTATCTTTAATAATACATGTATTTGTTCCGCAAAACACACATGAAAGGAGAAATTTGTTATAAATGGCAATAACTTCTATAATGAGTCGACCACGTTTTATGCAGTGTTGACTATATTGTAGTTATAGTACTGCTGGTCGTTGCTGCTTTTAAAGTTTCAAATACTTGATGAAACTAATAACGTGTAGTTTTCATTTTTTGAATTATTAAAAATCGTCATAAGGGCAATGACGCCTATGATTCGTCTTAAAGATTTGTTAAAATAAACAGTAGGTAGATATTGACACTCTGACATTTATGTCCGGTCAGTTTCTGTAACTGTTTACAAGATAATAGACAATACATTAGTACGTACATTTTATCCCTCTGTTATGTTTAAAAGCCTTGAAGTCCATGTTGATTGTCAGTCAGGATCATCATTTAAACTAGATACTCGAAGGACAATTGTGACCAAGTTTGGTTCTATTTGAATAGTAGTTTAAGAGGAGTAGATTTTCGTAAAAGTTAACGGACGACGACGAACGCCAAGTGAAAGTAAATGATAAAACTGGTCGTTTAGCCCAGGATACGTAACAGAGAGTAAAAATAAATTAAATTGTAGCTTTTTTACTATCAAAATGGATACAAATAATGTTTCGATTTAAGATTTATATTTTTGTAACTGCAAATTTAAAATGAAGTCGGGTTTGTTATAGTCAATCAACATATCAACTCATATTTTATAGTTCACATACATCACGAATTCCAAATTTATTTTCAAGCAGCCTAAATTGCAAGCTCTGAAATCCAGATGCTGATCCAAGGTGGTGTCTAAAAAAAAAAACCAATGAAATAGAGAATAAGTGGAACATTTTACAATTTTTTATTGACTAATATATATTACTAAGTCGATGAGTAATTCGATCTTTTTTCTGTTGAAATTTAGGATTTCAACGCTGCTGTTTCTGTTGAAATATTGATTTTTTAGAAATTGCACACATAGAAAATATATTTTACTTTCCATTCGAAAAAAAAGATAAAATTCCCTTAAATCAAAAGTGTTTCAATATTTCTTCAATTTTCAGAATTAGATGATAAATTTACGATTTCAACGCTGTTGTTTCTGTTGAAATATTGATTTTTGTAATATTTACGCTCATGAAATGAAAACAAATGCATGGAAATGGCTTAACTCATCATCTGGACAATATGGCGCACATGTGGTGAGAAGTAATATAGCCCTCGCGCAAAAAAGATATTTAATTAATAATTTATAAATTATATGGTCACTAGACTCGTTTGCTGTATAACAAATTCAAACAAACGGTCTGAAATTAGCATGTTTTTTGTTTAAATCTGGCAAGTCACCTTTATGAAGTAATTTCAATGACAATCTGACACCAAGCTTGGAACATTTCTCAAAGCCCTAATCAGATGTATTAAAAAAGTTATTTAAAACAATTGATATTAAACAAATTGTATTTACGGTAATTGACAGGGCAGCGTGAGCCCTAAAGCGTATAATCATTTTTTTTTTTTTATTTCCTTTTCCATGAAAAATAGAGCCTTCTTCAAAATACGATTAAGATATACTGATTATACAAAGGCTAATGCATATCGTGATGTCCTATGTTTAAAATATCACGACTCGGTACATGCCACTGCCGATGTTTTATTTCACATGGAATCGTTGTCCCCGTAATCAGTTCTGACACAAATAAAACTATGCCTTTAACTTGATTAATTTTGACGGATTTTGATTACTTAAGGTTGCATTTCTGTAAATATTGACAATGCAATTTCCCATAGGAACTCCTTTTACGGCTAAAACTGTACCACTTTTACTATGAAGTTTTGAACAAAATCTTATCTTAGAATTGAAAGTTCATATGCACTACAATTTTTTTCAAGGGTCAAAATATAGGGCTGTGCGGCATATTTTCAACGTTTATATGCCCTGAACTTTTCGGAGTTTAAACTAACACTAATTTTCTTAACTACCCCTACCTCGAATGAAGGGTTACCACAGATTTCAATGTAAACAATATGCACATGTATATTTACTGGTAACATTCCCAAGTTATGTCTCTATGAGATGGAACACAGAGAGCATAACTGGGAACCAGTATGTAAACAAAATTAATTTTCTATGAATATTCTAAATCTCCCCAAAAGAGGCGTGGTTTGAGAAACAACTGTATTTACAAAGTGCAACCTATACAAACATTTATTCAAATAGAAAACTCTCTAAAATCAGTTTTTCTCACATTAATACTCATTTATCAGAATTATAGCCTGAAAGAAATCACTGTGTATACTCTAAGTTTTTTTTTACTGAACATTTTATACCCCTCCCCTGTTTCAATTTTTAAAAGAATTTGAAAAAAAGACTTTAATTATTGCCAGCTTACCCTATTTGCATATTTTCTGATATAAAATGCCTAGAACCTGTTTAAAACTGTTTTGATAACATATTGAAAGCATATCAGAATACTATAAATGTTATGTTTAGCAGTCAATCATTACAACATTCAAGATTATATAAAATATCCAATCCTGCCTCTGTCTCCAGTCCACATCTTACTGTATGCCTATTTGTCAATTAAAGTTCACATTTTCTACCTCAAATGGTCAATTTAGAATTCTTGTCACAACAGTATCATCTGTAACCATATATCTGACACAATTTACCTAATAAATATACTAGAAGTGTTCAAACAAAGCCATATTTGCAATAGTTGTATGTATGCAGATACCAGTCTGAGATATAAATTCACTTAAAATGTTATAGAGATGACTGCTAACATCTAATTTTTGCATAACTTCCAAGCATAGTTATTGTTGTCTATATCAAGAACTTAAAAATCATAAAATCATAGCATTTACAAGTTAAATTATCTGTTTTATGACCCAGGGGGTAGGCAATTTTCTCTGTTTTTTGCCCCTGGGGCCTCAAATTTCCTAAATTATTCTGCTGTTTCTAGTAATTTGGAATATTTAGTACATATTCAGGATAGAACACACTATTGTAAGTTTTGTTGAGATATTTTTGTATTTCTAGCTTGTATTTTTTATGCCGTGGTGACAAAAAAGCAGATTTAGGTGTTACGGCTTACTTTTGGGTTAATGACAGGACACAAACATCCCATAAATAATATTCAGGAAGGATCGATGAGTTTCAATGACTGCGAAGAGTAAATATAAGCACTTCTTAACAATTTAATTTACAAACATGCAAATATTATGAATTAATTTTGTATTCAGGACTTTAAGTAAACTATGCATACTGTAAACTGTGAATTTATGCTGAGTCATCATATCTAAGGCCCAGGATTCTATCAATCTTCATGAAATATTTATAAAACTTCATATTTGAGTTAATTTCTTTAAAACTGTGAGATAAAGCAAATTTGGTTAAATTCTGAATGTTTTCTTTTTTCACCCTATATAGGTTGCATTTCTGTAAATATTGACAATGCAATTTCCCATAGGAACTCCTTTTACGGCTAAAACTGTACCACTTTTACTATGAAGTTTTGAACAAAATCTTATCCTAGAATTGAAAGTTCATATGCACTACAATTTTTTTCAAAGGTCAAAATATAGGGCTGTGCGGCATATTTTCAACGTTTATATGCCCTGAACTTTTCGGAGTTTAAACTAACACTAATTTTCTTAACTACCCCTACCTCGAATGAAGGGTTACCACAGATTTCAATGTAAACAATATGCACATGTATATTTACTGGTAACATTCCCAAGTTATGTCTCTATGAGATGGAACACAGAGAGCATAACTGGGAAACAGTATGTAAACAAAATTAATTTTCTATGAATATTCTAAATCTCCCCAAAAGAGGCGTGGTTTGAGAAACAACTGTATTTACAAAGTGCAACCTTTAACAGGCTACGTAAATGAGGGATATTCTGTCTGTTTAGGAAAAAGTAATATTCACGTGCACTTGCGTCTTGAAAATTTTTGTAATACATTGGTAAGGAAAGTGCATCTATATCTACCTGTATTAAAATCACCTGGATATATTAACATAAAGTTAGCCACCTTATATACTATTAACATCAATTTTATCAGTAATCAAAGCCGGGTTTTAGAGTAACTGTAAAAATACCTACTCTAGAGGTTGTGCGAATCAGATCAGATCAGATCATACTTGTAAAAACATTCACTCAAACAATCAATTATCTGAAACTGACATCATCAAGATACTTGATTTTTTTATTGACAACATGTTTCGTATGGTTAAAGGACGTGTTTTGTTTTAACAAATAATCGGCATTTCTATGGGAAACCAACTTCCTTTGGCACCATCTTACTGTGTTTATATTTCACAACTCGTTCGCTATGCCCGTGTCTGTTGTGACGTTTTTGATTTTAACGAACGTAATCTATGTATTACTGGTAAATTATTAAGCCAGGGATTTCGTTACCACAAATTACTTAAAACCTTTACTAAATTCTTCCACAGCTATAAAGATTTGGTTTTGAAGTTTGGTTGTACCTGTAGAAAACTTATTTCAAACGGGATTGCACATCCTCAATTTTACGGCAATATTGTTTACCGTGCCCGGAAATTTAGAAACGATCCTGGTAAACTTATCGATCCTTTAAATAAACTTATTCTAAAAGGTTACCAATTCAACACTGTAATTAGATCATTAAATATTATTTTTATTGGTACTAATATTGATTTTGTTATCAAGGTCATGTTTTTCTCTGACTGTTTATGACGTCTTTACACTAAATCCATTGGATGTCGGATGTGTACGGATTGATAATTTAGTCTTAGATGCATTTTTTTTTTATTAGTTGTTAGTGGCTTTGAACTAGCTGTCAGTAACTGCGAGTACTCTCAGATCTGTACTTAGTGTCTTTTTGTTGTTTGGATGTACAAGTACCCGGCAACGTCCACTTGTATTTGTAGTATTTGTATTTTTTATCCATCTGATGAGTTAAGCCTCTTTCAACGGATTTTTATAGTTCGTTCTTATGTTGTACTGTAACACCATTGTCCCAGGTTAGGGGGAGGGTTGGGATCTCGCTAACATGTTTAACCCCGCCACATTCTGTATGTATGTGCCTGTCCCAAGTCAGGAGCCTGTAATTCAGTGGTTGTCGTTTGTTTATGTGTTTCATATTTGTTTTTCGTTCATTTTTTGTACATAAATTAGGCCGTTAGTTTTCTCGTTTGAATTGTTTTACATTGTCATTTCGGGGCCTTTTATAGCTGACTGTGCGGTATGGGCTTTGCTCATTGTTGAAGGCTGTACGGTGACCTATAGTTGTAATTTCTGTGTCATTTGGTCTCTTGTGGAGAGTTGTCTCATTGGCAATCATACCACATCTTCTCTTTTTATATTAGCTCCCCTTCTTGCATACTTGGTCTTTCATTCATATGAGGCAGACTTCATACCGGAGCTTCTCATGAAGAATGAAGGTGTAACTACACGTTCCGCTATAAAGTTGACGTCCTTACACAAATTATTTCATGGTTTGATGATTTAGGGTAAACGCATCGGACTCGGAAATAAAGGTTAAAACAAATACAGTTAAGTGTGCCTCATATCTTGACTATTATCAAGAAATTGACAATGAGGGTGACGGTGTGAACAAGACGTTACGACAAAAAGGGGTGATTTCATCTTTCCAATTATGTTTTTTTTTACATTTCTATGTAACAGCAATCCAGCAGAACTTGTATATGAGTATAAATCTCACAGTTGATAAAATAATCGGGAGCGTGCGTTTCTTATCATGGTTTCTCTGTAGAGAGTTGATGCTTACAAGGGATCCCAGTGGTATTTTAATTCATTCCTTGAAAACTTAATGACGCCATCAAGATTTGTTTGACTTATTGAATATTGTGCAACAAATAACCAAAAGTATGTTCCAATTGTCTTAAGCACAATCCCGTTCTCTCTTCCTCGATTGTAACATCACCGGATGAGAGTTATCATCAAATTTGTACTTACCATAAGAAAACTGATAATGCCACATGTGGAGCAGTATAGTATCTGCTTACCATAACGGAACACTTGCGATTACCAAAGTTTTTTGGTGGGGTACGCGTTGCTCAGTTCTTTTGTGGATAGTGTTTTGTGAACTTATCTGACTTTTCGCCTTTTTTTTACGTTTTTTGCCAAGGCGTGACTTGTGAGTTTGAATGTCCACTTCGTATCTTATGCCTCTTTTTTAACATCAATGACATGTACAACGTGAAAATATTGTCTTTTGAACGCACATGTGGACACTCCTGTTTGTACTACAGGTATACGTCATTCTCTTATGCACAGTTACATAACTTTGTATCCTTTTGTCAAGTCTTAATCAAACTAGTATGCTTTGATTACAAAACGCATTTTAGTCGCAGATATACTCAATTATAAAATTAAAATATGTGTCAGTCAAAAATTGTTTCAAAAAGAGGCAGAAGATACTAAAGAATATTCAAACTAATACGTCGAAAACAAAATGACGATTACATGGCAAAAATTAAACGATAACGACCAAAAAATATTAGATTAAGTCTTTAAAAAGTGTACAGCTTCTTAAAAAACGCATGCAAAATTTACAAAAAATATGTTGATCGATTAAAAAATACAACTTTATCTAGGTAACTACTACTATCAAGTACCTGAATTCTAAGAAATTCAATGGTGGCATAGTCTCGATTATGAAGAACTGGTCGATCAATAACTACAAAAAGATAGATATTTACATGTACAACGACATTGATGATACCTCAAACTTTAGAGTAAAATTTAAAAGCAATACAAAATCAACATATTTATTTAATATATGTATTATTTTGAAAGCCTAAATGCTGGAATAATCAAATTAATTTTGTAAGTTCATTTATCCTCTCGAATTGTCAAATAAAACAACTTTGCAGTTACTTCTCCATGTTAATTTCTTAGATACCAATCAACAGTGAGAAAAGGCATTTACGATGGTAGTACAACGATTTTAAGGTCTCAATGGTATAGAACCACTAATTCAGGCCTGATGAAAGTAGTAAATATTCTGCAAAATATAGTTCCAACGCATATCTTTCAAAATAAATTAAATGTTTGGGTAATTTTTTTATAAATTTGCAGCTTAAAGAACCTCACATATATCAGTTTGATTCTGTGGATTGTATAAATACGAACCCATCTCCTAGCAGAATTAGAACGTTAAAAATGTAAAACCAGTACCGTTTTTATAGAATCACGTGCTCTTTGATTCATTAGATTTGGAGAAGTGTTTGTGGAAAAAAAATCATTCAATAATGTAAACATTCAAAGTATAAGCAAACAAGAAATATGTATACGACAGATCCTATAGTGCTTACACACTACAAATCTTCACTGTCAAGCTGCTAACCAAAAAGTAAGTTATTCTGATAGGTATTTTCTTAAAAAGGGTTGCGAAAATATATGTTGGGCAAATAGACAAACGGAATGACGGACAATGCGATTACAATAATCCCCGCTCATAATTCGAATGTTAACTAGCTGAGAGTCTCGTAATCCGCGACAAAAGTGACAACCTTCCATATGAGAACAATTCTTTCCAATCTCTGAGTTATGGTCAACATTTGCTTCTGCTCACGTGCCTGAAACAAAGATTGGACAAATCTATTGCGAATCATTTCAAAACAGAATTATTTTATTTTAATTTTACTTATGGTTATACCGATTCCTTTTGATTTTGAACCATTTTTGTTTCTTCAGTTTTAACATTAAGAATCAACTTACAAGAATTGTTTTCAATGTTTCAATTTACAAAAATATTACTATAATAATTTCACATCGAAATTTCATTCAATTGGACATTTATTTTTTTGAAAAAAAATATTTACTTACCGGTTTACTGTCAAAAATTTCCATAATAGATTCCAAGTCAAATAACATTTGCTTGAACCATAACTCAAACGCTAACAATATACAATAAAATTAGATAACAATTAAAATGAAAAACAACCTCATATATTATTAATAAATATACGTATAACATATTGAGGATAGTTTAAATGTTGTTATCGAGCTCTTAACGGAGCCAGTATAGGTTTGGGACCATCTATACACTCAGTGCTATTTCAAAACATAATGATAATGACTGATCAACTATTTGTTTAAATGAATATTTGTTAAAATATCTAAACCAGAAATTTTTTAACAGTTATAAGTTCTGCTTCTATTGGTACCAAGTTATTTTAAATCTGACAACGCACACATAGACGGTTAATAAGTTAATTATAAGGTTATTGTGGTACAAATGTCAAAGAAAAATCATAGGAAACACTGAAAAGAACAGTCGTAGCGTGTCATTAGTTAACTAAGGTACGTAAGAAAATGAAATATTGCTTAACAAAGCGCAAACCTTTGTAAACCATTCAACTGTATTACGAAATATATGTATCAGAACAAATAATAAAAAAACCGGACCCAACCGATGCGTATTTTTTTTTTAAAGGTTGAAAAGTTATTTCTCCTTATGGCTATAGTTAGTGCTAAAATTAAGAGTAGGAAAATATATTAAAATGTTTTATAAAATATCTGCTGCAACTCATAATTGAAGATTTTTCTGGAGATGATTTAATGAACATACAAAAAAGAAATAAATGATAGTCAATTTAGAACAATAACAGTTAATTCCCCTTAGAAAATAAATTTTGTTACTATGTTCAAGATACAACTTCTATGTATCAACCTATTTTATTACACTATAGATTGCTGCTTGATATCATATCAATAGAGAATATCATATGGCTTTTTCAATATCACATCCGTATCAACCCGAGACACCAATATAATCCCAAGAGCTCTGCTCGAGGGATTATATTGGTTGAGGGTTGATACGGTGTGTGATATTGAAAAAGCCATATTATATACACTTTATTATATACATATACCTCACGTAGATGTTTTTTATGTGACATGACGTCATACAGATAAGGAGGTTTGAAATGACGTCATGCAGATTATAGGTTTGACATGACTTCATACAGATTAGGGGTTTGATAAAGCCTTTGCAACAGTAACTGCAATCGATGACGTGACGTCATACAGATTAAAGGTGTGATAAAGCCTTTGCAACCGTGCTGATATCGATATCATCACGGGTGGCTGATACAGCCCGCTGGCCAATGATTGTATTAAACATACAATTTATCTGTATTTACTACTAAGTATATAATAAATATATTTATAATATGTTGTGTAGAAGGTCAACTTGATAACTCAACAGGCTAACTTTCATTCGTTTTTCAGAAATTGATTTTAAAATGATATGCCTACGTTACTGTCAAGATCAGTTACATTTGTATTATCATTACCGGATTTCATTGTACCCACATTGCAAACAGCTTGAGTTTCATGATTCTCATGAATCTGAATTTCGGATTGGTTGAATAAGTTGTTACCACTAGCCTTAATATAACTATTACACATGCATTAAATTTCAAGATTTATAAAATATAGTGGTATAGGAATCAAAATATAATTTGGTTTTAGATATTTTACCAAATTTTCGTTCAAAATAGTTTATCAACCCTTAACGTACAGTTAAAGCTGGCTTTAGAGTGTCTATATGCCATTTTGTTTTTCTTTGATGACATAGTTATTGGTTTTATAGTGATTAAGATTATAATTCTATGTTGACTGCTGTACCCCAGTTTTTGACATTTTTATCTATTATTTCTGTTTGTTTTGCCTACACATTGTTGTCAATATAATGGAATTCTATGCGACTGTCATACAAGTGAGATGTTTTGCTAGCCAAAAAACAGGTTTAATCCACCATTTTCTACATAAGGAAATGCCTGTACCGAGTCAGGAATATGCCAGTATTTTTCCATTCGTTTGATTTGTTTGAGCTTTTAATTTTGACGTATGATAAGGGACTTTCCGTTTTGAATTTTTCTTGGAGTTCGGTATTTTTGTTGTTTTACTTTTTGATAAAGTATTGACGGGTTTTGCCACCCGGAAGCCAAATATATCAATTGTTTTTTCAAATACACTAGATATCTTTCTGGTGTTCTTCCTGTTCGTTGAGGATATAGACGCACAAAATTTAATATCGACTGTATACACATGAATGAGAGTCTTGGGAGCTTAAAAAACATATTTTGTACATTTGGTATCTGTACTTCCATGGTTAATACATGAGGTCAACAGAAATTATGAAAAAAAGCATCAGAGTTTAAGCAATAAAAGCTTGTGATTATCAGCAATTCAATTGAAACATTTGATTAAGTTGTCAATTTGACAACACGGATATAAATATAATCATCATATGACAGTACATTTCTGTTTTTTTTTTTTTTTTGCACTGGATAAAAATATAAAGAATCTTCTTTTGTAAAGCATTTTAATCAGCGCGGGAAAAATTTGAGGAGGTTAATTTAAGATTTGGAAATCTAACGTGCACCAATATATAGACGAATAACGGGGAAACCCATCACTTTAAGAAAATACAACAAAACACTGAAAAACATGTTATTACATATTTGACCTTTATTAAAATCTATAAAATTAAAGTTAGCAAACTTAAAGCAGATTAATGTTATTTATTTAGTATAAAAACAAAAATTATGTTGGTAAATCTTGTCGTGGTTATTGGATAATTGTCTCTTTGTGTTGTTGTTAATCCTGATTCCATCTACTAAACAAATCATTTGCAGATATAGATTCAATAGTTTGTTTTCAAACAAATAAAATTGTGTATTCAAAAGAAAGAATAAACTCAAAGTATAATTCCATATTGCGAAATAATTTTTATTATGGTTTATTTGTTTAGGTTCGACAAGCTCTACATCAGTGTTAAGATTTTTCTAGCTAAAGGATACATGATGACTTTTCAGAAAACATATTTATGAATACATCAGTTTACATCCTTGTTCACATTCCGTGTCAGATAGGTTATTAAAATTATATATCTGATATGTCAATTGCATTTTTCGAATATTCGTGATAATTTTGTTAAATTTCTAAGAGCTTTTGTAGTGTCTGAACAGCTTTTATCATTTAAACATACCTTGATGAATGATAATAAAGAGATGCTCGTCATGAGCCGGATCTTTGTTTACTTCGCTCAATCGTCTTACACCTCCTAAAACTTTTTCCAGCTATAAATCAGATAATGAAATATGTAAATACAGCTATATCGGAAACAAAAAAGACATATTATAAAATTATATAATGCAGAAATATGGCAAGCCAAAGTGGACAAAAAGAGCTATTTTCTTAATTTTACGAAATCATTTATTAATATTGAGAATTCATTTTTTAATATTAAGAATTCATTTTTTAATATTAAGAATTCATTTTCTAATATTAAAAAATGAATTTCGTATATTAAAAAAGATAATCGCCATTTCTTAATATCAAAAAATGAATTTTTAATATTAGTAAATGAATTTCTAATATTCAAAAATAAATAAAAAATCAATTTCTAATATTAAAAAATCATTTATTAACAAAAGAAATTCATTTTTTAATATTAAAAATTCGAAAGAATTTTCTTATATTAGAAATTCATTTTCTTATATTAATAAATGATTTTTTAATATTAGAAATTAATTTTTCAATATTAAGAAATCATGTTTGTTTACATATTTTTTTGTTTTATAGTGATTAAAATAATATCTCAATGTTGACTGATGTACCCCTATTTTTGACATTTTTACCTATTATGTCTGTTTGTTTTGTTCACATATTGTTGTCAATATAATGTAATTTTATTCAACTGTCATACAAGTGAGAGGTTTAGCTAGCTATAAAACCAGGTTTAATCCACCATTTTCTACATAAGAAAATGCCTGTACCAAGTCAGGAATATGACAGTTGTTGTCCATTCGTTTGATGTGTTTGAGCTTTTGATTTTGACATATGATTAGGGACTTTCCGTTTTGAATTTTCCTCGGAGTTCAGTATTTTTGTGATTTTACTTTTTTCTAATATTAAAAAAATCATTTCTTAATATTAAAAATCAACTTTCAGAGTTACAAATTAAAATCTTCATCACTAAAGAGTTTTCACTTGTTTCTTTTCTATTCAATAATTTTGCTTTCATACAACGTCGAATTTCAAAATCAAATCTACTTCCACTGTCTGATTCGAGACTTTAAGTTAACAAAATCATTGGCTTACACGTGCAAAATATTATAGAGGGAAGGCAATATGGAGAATAGGGGTCCGTTAACAGGTTAACAGGTTAACCAGTGGCGGATTCAGAAATTTTCATAAGGGGAAGGGGCCCACTGACTGCCTAAGAGGGTGCTCGCTCCAGTCATGCTCCAGTGATTCCCTAGATAATGAACCAAATTTTTCCCACAAATTGGGAGGGGGTGGGGGGGGGGGGGTCCGGGCCCCCTCGGACCCCCTAAATCCGCCTCTGTTAACAAACTTAATTTAAAGTAAAACAGTTAACCGAAACCAGAAATTTTAATAGGTTAACAGCTAATTCACTTAGTAAAAAGCAGTTAACAGTAAAAATTAGATGCAATAGAACTGTTAACAACAGCCAAAATATGGCCAAAACATGTTAACAGAAAAAGGTATTGCCTCATAGCGGGGGCGTAAATCCAAAATGGTATCCCGAGCATAACGAGATGAAAATATATTTGATTTTTTTTACTGATTTGTGCTCGATTTTAGCGAAAATATGATGCTATATTTAGAAGGGGTATTTTATCAGGATGTTGATTTTCTTTATGATTTTCACAATTAACAAATTGTTTAACCTTTTCTGACAGATGCATCAAATGTGTCTTTTAGACACAACTATTTCAAATTGTATTGTATCATCCTGAAAATGCATGAAATATTTTCCACCGGACGTTAAGTAACCATTAATCAATCAATTCAAATTGTACTTCATCATCACTATCTGAGATCATTGTTTTCCAAATAAAATTTTTGAAGAATTTTATTTTATTCATGCATGGATACATCACCTTTTTCTAGTTTGGTAGGGTTAAGTTGAAGATTCAGTTTTGAAAAGTTAAAAGGGCACCTAGTTAGGACGAAATAAAATTAACTCAGTAGAATGTTATATTGAATTAATCGGAAATTTACGACAGGGGGAATGAAAATAAAATAACAAACACCATTCAGATCCCGTCAATTTATTTTGTTCAATGCCTCTGAATAAAAATAACGGTATTCTGTATTCAGTAACGTCACACGTTTTCTGTCAAGTTCTATTAAAGCGTATCATTCAACTTTGAAGCAATGTATATAAAAAACAAGAATTGTGAAAAATGTGTTTCTATACATAAATGAATTCAGTATAAAATTTTTCTTATAATAATTACAACAAAAAAATGGTGACCCCAATTTTTTATTTCATATTCCGATGTAACTCGAATCAAAGTACAATTGTGCCAAAAAATTTAGAAATCAGGAGATATGCCATTTGGTATCGTTACCTTAAAAGAAGAAGGGAGAAAATATTTTTTACCAGAGTATTACTTTTCATTCAGACGCTTCAACACTGTAAATAATACAAATTATAAGCCAAAGTGGACAAAAAGAGCTATTTTTTAATATTAAAAAATGATTTTTTTAATATTAAGAAATGATTGTCTAATATTAAGAATTCATTTGCAATATTAAAATTTCATTTTCTAATATTAGAAAATACGGTATTTTTTAATATTAGAAAATGATTTTTTAATATTAGAAAATGAATTTATTAATATTAGAAAATGAATTTTTTAATATTAGAAAATGAATTTTTTAATATTAGAAAATGATTTTTTGATATCAAAAAATGAATTCTTAATATTAAAAAATGAATTCTTAAAATTAGAAAATGAATTCTTAATATTAAAAAATGATTTTCTAATATTGAAAAATAGCCCTTTTTGTCCACTTTGGCTTGCCATACAGGATATTTTTTTGATTTAAGAAAAAAATGTTTCTGATGGTTGAATCTAAGTACTGAAGATATTTGAAAATAAGAAAAATAAAACTCATAGATAACTGCATTAATGGAAGGTCTATTAACACTTGTGTAAGACAGGAGAAATTAAACTTATCCACATATTGAATCAATGGAGAAGACTTTATACTGACAGTCAAACCAGAAGTATGGCTAAATGTTCCATTTTTCTGCGAGGTAAAATCCTATAGATGATAAAACCTAGTATAATTTGAATAATTACATACTATAAACAAAAACTTAATTTTACATATATCAGTAATATCAAAACTGTGTACAGTGCTATTCATTGCTATAGGAGACAGTATTGGTATAACATATTGCAAAATAAACATGTTTTGGAAAATATTGTAGCGAAGGACATGCATAACAAAATGGATTCAAGAGAGGTGTAAGATACCAAAAAGGATATTCAAACTCGTAAGTCGACGACAAACTGCCATGTTACAAAGACAAGCAGCAGTCTACAAAAGTAAACAAAAACACCTTCACCTCTTTTGAAATTTTGGTTTTGGTTGAGGCTGTTCTTCGCATATATTTTTTATACATACTAACAATTTGACGATTTTTATTTAAATTGCAATTTGAGAATGATTAGATGATATGTTAGAAAATACAACCTCAAAGTGCAAATACGAAACTTGGATACTAAAAATATTGGTAAATACAGAAGTTTTTTTTTTTTATTAATCAGTTGAAAGCAAATTCATGGGAAACCATGCCTAACTTTTTAGCAGTTTGATCATTTTCTAAACCGAATATATACTTGCATGAAAGTATTTCATATATAGATATATCATCTCATGATATCACTATATTTAACTACAATTTTAATACCGGCTATATTGCGTTTTTGTTATTCAAATTACTGTAATCATTCAATTTATGCATTTGTTTAGTTATTTCAAATGTTTAATTACATAACTTTTAACGTTCATATTCTTCAATCAACCAAAACAGAAAAGTTGATTAAAAGCCTTTAAACTCGGAAAGTTCAGTTGCAGCACTGTTTAGGATTTTACGAAAATACCACTAACGTTTACAATTTATTAAACTTAGGAATAAATTATCTATTTATAAAATGTAGACTTTCAGTACAAAATAATAAAAGTAGGCGTTGTATGCATGTCATTTTTAAATTTTATTTTCTATTGCTTTGATCGACTAAATAAAACGGTTTAATTTTAAACATTTATTGTTAACTCAATCATTTGAGGTCATAAGGCGGGTTATTCAATATCACAAATGAGGGCATCATCAAGAACAAAATAGACATTGGAAAAACATGAGAGACAATGGAAAAGCATTTGTTAATAGTAAAAAATAGAAATAGGGTGTCCACCTTTATCATGATGTGTTTTGCTTAGCTATGCTTTTTTATAGGAATACTCTGTTTTCTGTTTATTTATAAAATGTTTACATAACTATATTTAAAACAAAAATAACGAGATGTGGTATGATTGCCAATGAGACAACTATCCACCAAAGTACAAATGAGGTAGATGTAAGCAATTATAGACAACCGTACGGCCTTTAACAATGAAAAAAACCTATACGGTATAGTCGGCTATAAAAGGCCCAAACATGAAAAATATGAAACAATTCAATTGGGAAAACTTATGGTCTAATTAATAACAAAACAATTTCCGAAAAAAAAACAAATATAACAGACATGAACCAACGACAACCACTGAACTACAGGCTCCTGACTTGGGAGAGGCACATAAAGAATGTGGCGGGGTTAAACATGTTTGTGATCGCTCAACCCTTCCCCTAATTATAACCTGGGACAGTGGTGTTACAGCACAACATAAGAACAAACTATAAAAATCAGTTGAAAAAGGCTTAACTCATCAGATCGATACAAAGCAGAAAAAACATCTGACAAAAACAAAGACCGGACTTGGCAGGGTATTTATACATCCCTAACAACATTAAAAGACACACAGTACAGATCTGGAAGTACTTGCAGTTACTGACAGCTAGTTCAAAGCCAATAACAACTTATAAAAAAATCATGTATCTAAGACTAAGATATCAATCAGTACACATCCAATGAATGTAGTGTAAAGACGTCATTAACAGTAAAAAAAACATGACCTTGTGCAATGCAAAAATATAGGTATCGGCAGATTGTAGTACCGTGAAAGTGCAAATGTGTATATTAATTATATTTAGTAT